GGGCTCTCTGCTCAGCGGGGAGTCTGCTTCCTCCTCTCTCTCTGCCTGCCTCTCTGCCTACTTGTGATCTCTGTCAAATAAATAAATAAAATCTTTAAAAAAAAAAAAAAAAAGAAGGAAAGGGTGAAGCTACCATGAAGTCACTAAAGAAACCAGTCAGAATAAACAAAGAGCTCTGAAGATATCAGGTATCAAAGACAAGTATACAAACCCTTGAATCAGGGCCTCCAACAAGTGAAGACCATTAGTGTTGGGTGGGAAGACAATAATGTCAGGAAAGCTTCTGTTCAAAATGAGCTAAGACCCCAAAAAACAAAAACCAAAGAAAATGACATAACGAAACAAAACAGAAAGAGGTTCAAGACACTCTAAATGTGATTAAAGTTTATTTCTGGAGCAAGTTAGATTGGCGAAACTGGTCAAAATTGTAATTTGGAGGATGAGAAACAGCGATGATCTATATAATTCTTACTGAGTTTCTGTTTCCTCTCTGGAAGACAATGTCCTTTAGATAGGAAGTACAAAATATACACTAGCATCACACAGACAGCACAAGAGTGGAAAGGTAAAGTAAGGATCAGCAGCAATGGATATGAAAAGAAAAACATAAACCTCTTACTTCATATTCTGAAAATGAATCAAGAGTAGAATGTGGCTTTGAACTGAAACTGAAGTCTGGCTCAGAGTACAAAAACACCTGACAAACCTGACATTAATCTATTGATGATGATCTTTAAGGTACTGAGGAAAAGAAGAGAGGTATAAGAGACTGTGTGTGTGTGTGTGTGTGTGTGTGTGTGTGTGTATACACAAAAACTGAAAATCATAGATTCTACAAACCACCTACTTGTGATTTGATACTAATCCCAGGACTAATATTAGGAACATTTTAACCAGGAGAAATAAAAAATCCCACACTTGGGTCCAAAAACCCAAATGCATGTGTGTGTGTGTGTGTGTGTGTGTGTGTGTGTAAAAAAACAAAAATTAGTACAGCAGCAAGTATAATACAGGGACCTATGTGTTTTATTTGACTTATATACTTTAAGCATAAAAACAAATAAAAAAATTTTTTTGAATTTTCCCTGGGGCCAAAACCAAAGAAAACTACCCCTCCTGTCAATTCTTTCAATCATTTCCTTTAGAAAAGTTAACTATAAACTTCTTTTCTGTGTCTCTCAGATATAGGAATGTTTTTAAAAGTCTTATTTAAGACTCTTGCCAGATCTGCATCTCAGAAATGTATTTCCCAAAGGCCTTGTAGACATATTTGAAATCTGAACACCAAAAAGAATAGTGTCCCATTTTCCTGTCACTACAAGAGTCTGGGCTAGGTGCTTGGCTCCAAGCTGTAACTTCTTGTCAAAAAGATACGAGAAATTTTATTTTTCTCTGGATAAAGACAAGTAACATGTATGTGATGGATTATATCTGTGTGGCTATGTAAGAGGGCAAGATGTCTTTCTGTCTTGGCAATCTCCCAGCAGACTACCTGCGACATGCACTGCAGTCTTGGTTTAATGCTTATTAAATAATAAAAAATTTAAATAATTTATAATAATTTATAATTTAAATAATTTATAGGTGATTTTTCTGGGTTGGCAGGAGATTTTATTTTTAATCATTTCTCCAATAAAACTTAGTGAGAGTCAACAGTATGATATGTTTGCCAAAAGCATTATTTGGAAAGGATTAATAGAAGAATGGTTTCTAGAATGAAGAAAGCAAGAGCCCGGCTCTATACTAGGCTTGAAGCAATTTTTTCATTCTGGATGCCACTTTATAAAGGGGATAAAAAGGGAATGCATTCAGAGGGCACTGAGAATACTGAAGGAACTCAAAATATATGTAACATCATGGCTGAAAGAACTGAGAATATTTAACCTAGGAAAGATAAAAACACCAGAGTGAAAGGGAGAAGAAGAGAGCGGGCATAATTATAATTGGAAAAGTGTCCTTGGAAGAGGGCATTGATTTGTTCTATGTAGTGTAAAACAGAATATATATTTCAGCAGAAGAAAGAGAGTGTTATCAACAATCCAAACATCAGATAGAGATGATCTCATCCCCGATGCTATGCAGTCGTAAATTACACAACCAAGTGATAATGTCAGGAACATTATTCAAGATGAGGAATTCAAGTACTCTTTGGATTAGATCTTTCCGAGATTCCTTGTAACCTTACAATTCTAAAATCTTACAGCTTTTCTAAAATATTTATTTCTTTACCTCTGTACCATTCTTGGTTTGCATTCAAAAGAAAAAGAGATTACTTCTTAAAAACATTAAAAAATACAACTGTACAAACCTCAGCAGCAGCATAGCCAGGGTATACTTCAACACCGAGGGCTTCTGCTTGTTCTCCCATCCAGCTCACTAAATGTCCCAAGCGTACAATGTAATTGCCATGATTATTCATTGGAAGACCTACAAATATATGCTTAATTTATCAATCTGACATTTTATCGATAAAGCATTTCAAAACCATAAATACTTAATTTAAGAATTCTAAACAATGTATAACTTCTGTGTAAATATACACATCATCCTATGGTCAAAATTTCATTTAAATTCTACAACTTAGGCACACAGTTCTAATTATTGAATTAAAAAGCCATTACAATACTAAAGTAAAATTCTGGGTTGCCTTATAAGGCTATCTCAATTCTTCTAGACTGGAAGACAAAAGAACTAGGTTCTAGTCCTGTTTTGCTACAAGCTACAAGATGAAATGTGGTTCCTTCCAGGTACAGAATTCTATGATCCTACAAATACTTATCACACCTTACCTGGAAGAATTGGCACAGGAATTCTGTATTTCTCTGTTAAAATTCCAAATCTGTCTTCTGTTACAGGAGTGTTAAGTGGAGCCTAAAAACAAAAGGAAAGAGAAGGAAGCTTTTAGTTCATATTTGTAATGGTAAATACAAATAATGAAAAAACTATGTCAAAAGGGAAAGTGAACTACTCTCCTCACTTTTCTTTCATTTCCTTTAGAAACTTGGAACTGCAAATCCTCTCTGTCTCTTTGAGATGTATGGGAATCTTTTTAGAACCTAAATAAGCCAGTTTTACATCCCAGAAATCTTTTTGGGGGGCCTTGGAGACATCTTGGACCTGGCTTCCTGTCTCCCGGTCTCTGTGGGAGTTTAGCCTAGGTGCTTGCTCCAAGCTGTAACTTCCTGCCTGATGAAAACATAAGAGAAGTTTTATTTTTCCTTTGGATGCAATTAACAGGTATGTCATGGATTCTATCTGCTCAGTTATATAGGGCTCTGAAAACCTTTTTCTATCATAACTGGTATTACATCAATAACAATTAAATAATAACTATTTTTGGTATAATAGTGAAAAGAGAAAGTTAATTAGGTGTAAGTATTTCTAGTTTAAAGGAGCTCGGTATTTTAGAAAGAAGAGCACAGATGAAATTTTTGGAATTCAATTTACTCCATATAGAAATAACATAGAAATCATATAATTGGTGACATTTACCAAGTATATTCACGGGTAGTGAATATTCAAGACTTGGCAGGCATAACATAACCCATCTTACAGAAGAAAAAGCTAGGATATGTAAAGTGTAAGATTTTAGTCAAAGCCATACGAATGATGAAAGCAGTAAAATTAATATTCAGTTTTCTGCATATCATACCAGTGCCTTTTCTTCTTAGGTTATGAGAGGCCATATTCATTTATTCTTTGGAACACTTGATTAGATTATCCTCTTTGGTTTTAGATATTACAATGTCCGAGGAAATTTACTTAAAACTTTATTAAGAACAATGATATCAACACCTACGGAACAACTTAGGAAATATGCTCAAAATCAACATGCTGTATTTTATTTAGTACAAATATTCTAACATCTTCTCAAGATAAAGCCTTCTTATAAACCCAGTACATAAATACAATGTGTAGAAGGTATTACATGAGTACATGAGTTAATATCTCAAAATTGTAAATATAGTTGATATAATTCAATTTTTGGCCCTTTTTTTTTTTTTTTTTTTTTTTTTTTTTTTTTTTTTT